AGTCTCCCAATGAATGCTGCACATCACCTCCACAAATTTATCCATATCTTTACTGATTAACTCTTATTCCAGGGGAATGCAATTCATGTCCTCAGATCTCAGAATGTTTGGGGATACCAATAAAATAATTTCCATCAGACCAACCTGTCAGTCTGGAGTGGACTTTTTAACTGTTTTTAACAAAACCAGCATTGCCTGCAGGTTGCCTGACACTCAAAGAAAAAAAAAATAAATCAGATGAACCACAAATTTTTTTTCTTTCTCTCCTTACTCCTTCCCTCCCCCTCCCTTCCTTTTTCCCCTTTCATCTCCTTCTTTTTAGCTGAAGCCACACCTCTGTCCCAGTCACCCCAGCCAGGAGACACACAGCTGTCTCTGGCTTTCTACCCTGAATTGGTCACCCAGTCCAATCCATTCTGCTGTCTGTCTTATGTATCTCATAAATCGTGTTCCCTCGGCCCCTGCCCTGGTACCGGCTCTTGTCAACCATGAGGACTATTGCAGTCACCTGAGACTGGTCTCCCTACCTCCAGAGTCTTCCACCCCCATTCATTCCCAGTAGGATCAGCAGGATGAACTGTCCAGCCTGTTGATCCCTCTGCTGGGGTCCTCTTGTTTTCCACAGAGCTCACTCTTTCCTGTGGGCACAAGGCTCTTTGCAGTTTAATTCCAACCCAAACTTGCAGCTTCATCTCCAATCCTTCCCCTCCACCACAGGAACAGGCACCCCACGCTCCACACACACACACACACACACACACACACACACACCTGATTTCAAGTGGCCATACCTTTCCACATCTTTTCCAGTAACTGCTCCCTCTTTGTCTTATCTGTGGAAGTCACTTGTCCTGCAAGACCTAATTCACCTCTCAGGGAAGCTTCACTTTCTTCCTCTGGGTCTCTATAACTTTTTTTTGCATCTATTTTTCTTATCATCCTTACAAGAGAGAAAGAGAGAGACAGGCACTGAGACAGAGAGACAGACAGAGAGAGACCCTCCCCAATTCTCACATCACCGCAGCCCACAGTACAGGACCTGGTCAGTCAGATGCTCAGCTCTTAGTGGATAAACGTACAGAATGGGACTTTGCCTGTTTTCTCAGAATAACTCCCGTGGCCCCAAGGCTGAGGTCCGCAGTTGACAGTTACCCACCA